CGAAGCCCCAGAATCCTTGCCTCCAAGGAGCAGCCTGGTCTCACCCTCTCTAGGATGAACCTGTTTGTTCTCCTGGCAGTCCATGGTACTCTTCTGCAGCATCACAGTTCAAAGGCATCAATTCTCCTTCTTTCATTTCCAGTCATTGTCCAGTTCTGTAATGCATAGCAAGTAATTGCAAAGACTATAGCCTGGATCAGGAGCAAAATAAAAATAATACTTAAAAGAGATGAATTTTTTTTCCTTCGGTTTCTTAACCAACTAATACTGGAACATAAACATGTTTCCAAAATATTCTAAATTTCTCATTTAAAGTACAAAACACAGACTCATGAAGGCAAATACTACATAAGACCATTATTGTAGAGATAGAAGGATAACTATTAAAACATGTATGGGAACTAAAGGGGGGAGGAGGGAGTGAAAGGGTGAGGATGGGTAGGGGTGAAACCACAGGTGGCACAATTTGGTGGGTGAAGAGAGATAAGGAAGGAAATGGGAAAGATCTGGTCGAAAAGACAGGCTAATGATGGGTAAGGTACAGTGGTGATTAATTTTATAAAACATAATGCTTATATGAAGCACAATGTGAATGAAGAATACTGTGAAACACAATGTCTATGAACCTTGTAAGCAAACCAATTAAAAAATAAATAAAAACAAGTGCACTTTAAAAAAAAAGAAGAAAACGAACAAAGATTTCCTCATAAAGATGACCTGCAAAGCAGAGAGGCAGAGAACTCCTCTGCTGTGCACTAATAAGGAAGGCGTTCAGGCCCCCCAATCCACTAGAATGCCTCCACTAGCTGGCCAGTAATTCCCCCCGTCAACGAAAATTCATTAGGACTTAAGAGGAGGGAAAGACAAAGACGTTGATCCAACTTCTTACCTCATTCCCCAGGTTACATTTTCTATAGCTTTCCCAGCTAGTAGCTGTTTACGTTTAGGAAAAGACAAAAAGTGTCCAAGCAAAGTACATCAGTTCAAAGGTTGGTATCTCCTCTGGATGAGCCATGAGATATGTCACTTACATTCTTTCAATTCCCAGGTGCTAGAGAGATCAGATGCCAAGTTAACTCGTGGTACCTTGCTGTGTCATGGAATGCAAAGCTCCTAAAATGCTGATGAAATACCAAGGGTCCTGACGTTGAGAGGGGCTGGGGAAAGGAAACCTAGTAGGCAGGCGATTGGAGCTCCTTAAGAGGTAAATCGATGCCAGAAAGTTGGATCGGGCAAAGGGGAAAAGCAAGCACGTTTAAAAATCTCTCGGTGTGATCCTCGGTCCCTATCTGTGTCCAGCGCTGAGTGTGGGCGGGATTTCGTCCGGTGGTATATCCTGACTTTTTGAGATCACGCATCAGCATGCGTGGGCTGCAGAACTGCGGACACCCAGTCCGCGCGAAGTGCACCTTGACCTGGCCTCCAGCTCCAGGTCTCCAGAGCAGACAGTGCTTCCCCAGCGGGAGTCAGGGAATGGGGTGATAGAGAGAAAGACTGGGAAGAGCCTGACACACAACCACAACCATGAGGCTGTTGGAGAGCTTCGGACCATCAAGGTTGGAGCAGCACTTCCAGGCCTCTTTTCATCTTGGGGTTACGTTCGGTGCAGAGTCACCCACCTACAGACTGTTAGTTTTCCGGAGGGAAAACTTAATAGAGGGCGAACATCAGCTGAACGCCAAGGTCTAAAGAGTGGGTTAAGTGGTTAGGTGGGCGGGGAGATGAGAAAGCAGCCAGGACCCCACTGCTCCCCTCGCTTGTCTTTGCGCACTGACCAGAGCGCATCTGTGCTGGCAACTTAGAGCGATGTGACTGCGCTATCCAAACGTGGGGTATTGGACCTTAGACCTTTCTCTGGAAGGGTTTGGTTGGGTTTTTTTTTTTGGGGGGGGGTGTATATGTGTGTGAGTGCGCATTGCATGCTTACTGCTCGGCCCTCCATCTGCAATCGCATTAGCGCCACCTTCCCTAAAGCGCCGGAGTCAATCCATCCTTGAAAAGAAGGGTTTGGAATTCACTCGCAGGACTGGCTTTAAGATCCAAGTACTGGGTCCGTCCCACACATTCTGCTACTGGTCGGGGCGCAACAAATGCCTGTGCAGCAACCTGTTGGCCTTTCTTTTCCCTGGGTCTTTAGGGCTGCAGTCTGAGCGCGGGCCACCTGCCTAGAATTGGCAGGACTGGCAGCATTTGGCAGGACCTTGGCAGGACTCTCTAGCTGTGTGACCCTCTGGCCCTGCTCCTTCGCAGCTGTGTGGAGTCTTTTAGCCTAGTCCTAAAGCAGCTGGCAGTTGGGCGGGGCTATAGAATGCTGGAAACTCCATCCTGAGGTATAGTACAAATACACGAGAGGGTTAGAATACATCGGAAAGCTTGAAATGTCATCTCGAAAATATGTTTCCAAGTTTGTCTTGGCTGATGGCAAAACTAGCTTTGGCCACTTTTCTCCCTGCTATGCTTACCCGGCAAAACGTTCTTGAGGGCAAATTGATCAGCATAGCTATCAAATTTTAAATAGTTTATTTAGCACGATCCCACCTACCGAGATTGCCTGGGCTGTAGCTCATCCAAAGCTCGGCTTTATTCCTACTTGTATGATTAAGTTAATGACCATCCAAAAGAAAACAGGGAGGGTGAACGAGTGTCTACATGTATCCTCCAGAAAACTGGATTCCAAACTGAACAACTTTTCAAAAACCAATTATTTGCTTACTTTTTTGTAGTTCATCCCTATCTGAATTTCCAGCAAGTAATCAAGTTGTCACATTGAAAAGAGTTCGGAAGTAGGTAGATGAAAAGGAGGGGACCTTCCATTTTCTTGGGAATTCAGGCCACAGGCAACCTTGGTTATTAGTACATATGTGTTTAGAGATACTGTGTTTAGAGTACATTGTCTCTAGAATCTTATTGTGTCTCTAGCCTCACCAGTGCTAGGAATGGTCAAGTGACCCAGCCTCTCAGCTCTTGTAATCTGAGGATCCTTTGACACACATATTCGATTTCCACTAAAATATTGTCTCAATTCTTCCTACAAATTTCTCTTACCAACAAAGCTTGATCTTTTCTCTAAAGCATCCCCTTTACGTTTGATTAAACTCATTTAAGTTCTTAAAACTTAAACCAAAATTTTCCTAGTGCTAAAACTAGAAGAGTGTGAAGTATGCCTCATTCAGTTTACACATGAGAAAATAAAAACACAAGACAATAAAAACCACTAATGATCCCTATTCTACCTCACTGTGAATGAGCTTATCATATTATCCAAATGTTGCCTAGGAAAGCTAAGTGTCAGTCTCAAAAGAATGTAGAATTTTTTTAAAAAGAAGATTACCTAGAGAATCTTATGGACACATCATTTTATCCTGCCCCTTGCTGCCTGCCCTAGTAATTTGTTCCCTAGTCACCTTAATACAATAAAGACTTTTCTCCCTTTTAGGAGAAAGTTCTTGAGCAGCCTCCAATGACACTTTTTTCTTTCTGGCCTCTTTATGAGTATCTTCCCCCTGACATTGAGGATGGTAGACAGGATGTGAAAAGAAATGAGAAAATATACCTCCTGTAATAGATAAGCTAGTATAGTAGCTTCTAACTCCTCTACAGAGTGGTCAGAAGATGACCATAAATTAAGAGTACTCTAGCTTGAAACCTAAAGGAACACCGTTCCTTTTGCATTGTGTCTAACACACTACATACATCTACTTATGTAAACACCATTTAACTGCTGTTGTGAATATATAAAGAGTACATAGACACCTTTATAAGGCAGAAAAAAGGTTTTCCATATTGTAATGTTTCAGGGCTAGATTTGTTTCACAGGCTAAATTGGGCCCTGTAATACACAGACTGTCCATGAGCAATGGTCATTCCTACATGATGTCTACTAGAATTCCATAGCAGAATGCTGAAAGGTCTCAGACTTGAGAGCAACTCTCCCATGCAAACATTATTAGGAAGGAGAACCTTAGATGGACTCCCTGTTCTAGGCCTGAGATATGTTTGTCCATTTGTGAAGATGCTAATTACTTCACTGCTAAATAGAATGGTAACATACCAGTGACAAGTTAGCTGTATGTATGGCAAGCATCCTTCTCAAAACTATTTGTCCTTTGATAAAGAAACCAAATAGTTTCCAGCTAAATAGTTTCTAAATAGTAACTGGATCTTATCTCCAAATCTTGTTGACTCAAAATTTTCTTAAATAAATGCAATCAAGGTAGCCTTTAAGCACTAAATATACTTAAAAAACACACACACACACACACACACACACAAAAATTAACAAATCATTTCTTTGAGGAAAATAGTCATTTATTGTCAAAGCATCCAACATACCCAGATAAACTATACAGTTTAATAAATCTTTCCAGGAAAAAAAACAAACCAAAACCACATAACTATTCAGACTCCATTTCACTGGCACAAAATTACACTTTGTATTAAAAGGAAATACATATTTACATAATTTATGACATTCTTCATTGAAGTCCATACTCATTTCATGATACATGCACTTCCCCCTGGAAATTAAACTGAATGGCAACCCCTTTTTATTTGTTTTGTTCATTTTTGTAAGAACACAAAACTGTCATCCAGAAATGCAGAAAGCATCTCCTCCTCCTCCTTTACTTTATATCTAAAATAAATTTTGCCCTCACATATAATTATTACATCTAAACCGTAAGTGCTTAATAATTTAAGTAGAAACGTATGACAAATGCATCAATATGTTGCAATATATGACATTTTAAAAAATGTACCTTTGTTTTTGGGAAAGTGAAAATGCGTGCATTCAAAGAAAACCCCCTAACAGCCCACCAAATAAAAAATTCACCATTGTCCGGTTTCGTGTGAGGATATGTGTGTGTGTGTTTGCATCTGGGTGCAGTGTTTCAGGGTTCAGGTGGGTGACAGATGTCCTTGTCTGTTCGTTCCTGCAGGTGGCTTGACTGTGCGTGTGTGCGCGCTCGCGCGCGTGTGGAAAGCCAGGGGTCCTTCCTGCGTCAATTATGAGAGGTCATGTGCCTGGAGAGGTGGTGGCGCTCCCTGAAAGACTCATTGCAAATGGGGCACTTGAGTTTCTCCTCCCGCCGCCGTTTCACTAAGGGCTCCATGGCGTATTCTTTTTTGTGATGGGACCTCATGTGATACACCAGGTCGGAGGTCATGCGAAAAGAGGCGTTGCACTTGGCGCACCAGTTCTGCGCCGGCAGACACAGAGAGGTGAAGGACGGCGGCAGCAGCGTGAGCGCCGAGGGCAGCTGCAGCTGCAGGGGCCCCGCGGCCGCCGCGGAGCTTTTGGGCCAGAAGGCGGTGGCGTAGAGGAAGGGACTCTGCTTGGGCAGGCCGCCGCCGCCGCTCGGCAGAGCCCCGCAGCCGCCGTTCAGGTCCGCGGCCCCCTGCAGCTTCACGGCCATGGGGTCGGCGGCGGCCGGGTAGAGTCGGGTGGGACCCACGCCTTCGCCGGGGTGGCACGGCTCAAGCGCGCCCAGCTTCTGGCCCAGCACTAACGGGGACAACTGCGAGAAGGAGCGAGCCGGCTGCGAGAAGGCGCTTTTGCGCTCATCCGACGCGGCGCCCTGCCCGCCGGCCGCACCGCCGGCCGCACCGCTGCCCCCGCCGTTGCAGCCCGCGCTGCCCAGCTGGGGCAACGAGGTGAAGGCGCTGCCCCGCGCCGGGCTGCCACCCTCCAGCCGGCCGGGCAGCGGGCCCCCGGGCCGCGGTGCCAACAGCTTCTCGCCGCCCACCGGCGACGCGGCCGCGGGCGTGGAAGAGGAGCTGCCGCCGCCGCCGCCGCCCGCGTCCTGGTCTTCGACCGGGCCGCTCCCGCTGTCGACGGCCGCCTCTTCCTGCAGGCCGCCTGCTCGGGCCACCTTCTTCACCTCCACGAAGGCGCTGCGCTTGGCCTCGCCCGTCTCGGGGCTGGGCGGCGCGAAGAGGCGCCCGTTTTCTTCCAGGCCGAAGTAGCTGCCCGAGGCGCGGTATTGCTGCGGCGTGCACACCAAGTCCTCCTTGGAGGCCGGCAGGGGCCTCTCGGCGAAGCGGCCCCGGCCGCCCAGCAACCCCACGCTGCCACCCTCGGCCGTCTCCTCTGGGAACTTCCTCTTCCCTTTGCCGCCGCCCGCGGCGTTGCCGTCGGGACTCAGCTCCGCCTCCTGGTGGCCGCCGCCGCCGCCGCTGCTGCCGCTGCTGAGGCTCCGGGCTGGAGAGCAGCAGCTGCCTCCCCGGGAGTTTTCCAGCTCTCGAGCCAGGTTGTGGAAGTCTGTGGACGGCTTCGCGGTGCCACCACTGGCCGCCGGCGGGTTACTGCTCTCGGGGGAGGGTGCCGGATAGTGGTGGATGGGACCAGCTTTGCAGAACTTGGGGCCCGAGCTCAAGGGTGCCTCCTGTTGCTGCTGCGGGTGGTCTTTGTCGCCGCCACCGCCCCCGTGGTCCTTGGTTCCCACGCCGCCACCTTGCTCGTCTGAGGAGCTCAGCTCAGCGCTGTGCAGTCTCTTGGGGCAGCGGAAGCGCAGATGCGCCACGTAGGGGAACTCAAACTGGAAACGCTGGCTGCATTCCAGGCATGTATAAGGGGGCGATCCTGAACAGTAAGCAAACACCATACTCAGGCACACCACAGGATTACTCAGCACCGTCCGCAAACCAGTTTGTATCTACCCCTTCCCAAATCCACCTTCCTATCTCCGGAGTTAAGATCTGCCAGACCTGATCTAACGTTTTCTTCCAATTTGGGAAAGCAAAGAAACGAAGTCAAGTGTCCCTGGGTTATCCTCTATCTAGCACTCCGAACTACATGTCACAAACTTCCCACCTGCCGCACTGAGGGAGCAAAAGGGTCCCTTAGGCTCTTGGGTGAACTCCACTGCTCCCATGTATTTATTTACCGCAGGGGAGGGACTCCCTCAGGTTTCAAGTCAACCTACCATTCATTTTGTTGTGAGATCTAGAAGGGCAGAGCAAGAGTAACTCGGTCAGTTCTTTCCCATACCAAACAAGTAACTCTTCGTCTTTGGCAATCCTGCGGAGGGAGCGGTAAAATAGCTGCCCATTTTTAATATAGGCTTCAAGATTCTGTTCTTCTTTATCTCTGGCTGATTGGACCAAACGGAGCCACATGAGCCCTTCTGAGGAACCATTTGCTGCTGAGGTGTCCACCTGGAGTTTTGCAAACAGTAAAAAAGGATAGAGAAGGGGGGGCGGGGGAAGGAAAAGGTGAGATAGAGAAGCAGAGTAGTAACTAGGGCCATTTCCTCTGAAATCAAGGTTCCCCAAACTTGATCTAGGTTGACCCTTAACCTCATGTTTGCAACCAGCAAGTAAGATAACTATATTTTGAGTCGCTCAGTCAAGTCCACATAGATTTTAAGTCATTTTTATTTACAGGTTGAACATCAAATGAGGAAGTTTCTTCTTAAAATTTCAACTCACACTGGCTCTTGAAAGTGTGCTTTTAAGTTATCTTCCATTACAAAACAATGGAATGTTGCTTACTTTGGGAAGGAAAAAAACCTTTTATCTTAGAAACTAGTCAATTAGCATTCATATTCTTAATTTTGATTGAAATAGTTTATGTCTTTCTTAGTAAAGAAAATAGAGAGTGAGAGGTCTTTCACCCAGATTTAAACTTCTGGGTTTAAAATGTTCTCAGGTCAAAATCATTCACATTTTTGCTTAAATACAAATTCTGGACATCAGCTAAAACTACCTTAGAACTTAACCAAAATTTCTGAGGTTGGAAGGCAATTGTAGGTGGTATTTATACCTAGTCTGCAAATAGCCTTAATCACTAAGAAATTTCCCAGTATTAAAGAATTTGGGTTCTTGGCCAGCAGAGGCCAGAATGGAAAGACTAATTTGGTGTATTCCACATAATATATTGTTTATTCCAGAAAATCAGTTGATAATAGACTCTAATGCTCATAATACTGTGTCAAGGCATTTTCTAGACTCAGGATCTATCTCAACTTGTCATATGAATAATTCTCAGTCTGTCTTCAACTCAAATATTTTCCTCAGATACTTACATAGCATTGGTCATGACTTACCCGGAAAATATAGGGAACTGTTCTCTTGTCCGTAGACTTAAGAGCTATGAAAGCTATGCTGTCATACAGGGAAGTGTGGCTCAGGACACAGGGACCAAATATAGCATTCTCAGGTATGTCGCAGGTGGTGTAAACGCTGGTAAAAATATCTGTCAGACATTGTTGCACAGCCTTGGCATCTCCATCCCAGATGCCTCGCTGGATGCCAGAATCCTCCATCACTGGAGACAGATAGATACACAGACAACGAACACATTCCGTTAATCCTTTATGTCTGAGAGTCTAAGTGGAACATTTTGACTACTAAAAAGAGTTTACTTGCACTCGCTTGATTTTTATACAGCTGTTGTTTCAAATATAAAGCAAGTGGCAGAGTCAATCTGGTCTATCTTTTAAAGATGCCAACTGAGAGATGTTTTTCTTTCCAATTTGTGTTCTTTGTTTGGAGTTAGGGGGCTCCAGAGTGGATTCGCTGTTTGGGAAGGAAAAAGGGAGAAAGGAAGAGAGAAAGCAAGAGAGGAAGGGAGGAAACAACAAAGTCATTTTTCGTATTATCTTGGCAAAGGAGGGAGTAGGCTTTAGAGAATAATGGAGAATAATGATCCCCCCCCCAGCCTATAGATTCTCCTGAATGAAAGAAACTTCTAACTCATGAGGGAAAGTTCCTCTCTTCTCTTCTTATGTATTGAACTGTGTACCCAGAAGCTGACTTTCCTTTTTTTTTTTTTTCTCCCAAAGAGGGGAGCAACCGCATTAGTGAGCAGGCGGAGACAGCAGAGCATGGAGAATGGATTTCCAGTGTTGTGTCAGGGCCACTGATTCCATGTCAGCTAACCTTTCTCTGCAGCCTACAAGAGGGGATGCATGTTGGCTCATTATCATAATCCAGCACTGTCCCTCGGAGGCTTTAATTAAAAGCAGCAAGCAGAGGTAATTATTTTTTTTTTCCTCGACATGCTTATTTATGGATGAGGGTGAATCCCACTTACCTTGTTTTACAAGGGGTGGGTTGAAACGCATGTGCTCATGAAGGGAGCAGGTACAGGGCAGACGTGAAGTGTCCCTTGTCTGAAATACCTTGTGTGTAATGACTGGTGAATTCTAACTCCCTCAGATACCTCTGTTTGAGCAAGAGGGGGCAGCCCCGCTTGAATAGCCCTCTGTAGGCTCTCCAGCTGTTTAATCCACAGCAATTTAGAAAGTAATGCCCTGATGGAAGGCTCTCTATTAAGCTGTCATAAAGGGACATTTCCCAGCCTCTTCCACTGGACACCCATTAAAAAGACTTATCATTAAAACACAAACAAACAGACAACAGCCAAACAATCAACCAAGAATACAAAAACCAGTTTCTTTTTGACACTGACTTTGCACTAACTGAATTGTTTACCTTTTCTGATTTACTAGAAGGTTCTTTTCCCAAAGCTGATTTTTTTTTTTTTACTAATTATGTTACCATTGATGATGACTTATGTGCATTTTGTAGAAGGTAGGCATTGAAAGGGGGGAAAGCATTCCTGTTCTCTTTATCTTTTGTTCATTATGGGGTAATACTAATAAAGCTCATTTTTTTATTAACTGATTTGTTTTGCAAATATGACTACAAGGTGGCGGGTTTTGTTTATTTGTTTGTTTGCTTGTTTTTCTCTCCAGCTATTTGAGACTGAAACTTTGTCAGCCTCTTTCCATTCCTTGTGCTACATCCCGCAAATGGCAAGTGTTGGCTTCTATCTGCCAGGCAGCAGAAAGAAAAGATCTTACAGTCGTAAACTTATTTGGCGAGCTCACCACTTAGTTGGGCATTTTTATCCTAAGTAACCTTCCTGATCTTCATTAGCAGATAGAATAAAATGTAAAACAAAAACCCCAAAACCAAAACCAAACTTCACAATCTCTCCTTTTCAACAGAATTCCATTCTCTCCTTTTCAATTTCAGCGTTTTATGCTCCGATTTCTCTCTTCCTTTTAAAAGTCCCTTTCACACAAGCGTTTCATTGTGCCGGAAGGTCGCCCCGCCACTTCGGGCAACAGCAGGGACGAAGTCATTAAAATGCAGTTCTACCTAACAATACGAGCGCAAAGGTCCTCGCTCCGGCGCCCGCGCGCACAGCGGGTCCGCCAGCCGCGCGGCCGGCGCCACCGCGAGACCTGCGCTGGTCACAATAACCACTGGGGATGCCCAGAGCAGTGCCAGGAGCTTGGGTTCACCCACCACGGGCGTTCGCCTCCGCCTCCCGACAGCGCACAGCTCTGCCTCATGCTTTAGGCCCGCGGTTCTCGTGCGCCGCGGGATCCTCCCCAAAGCCTGCAGGATTCGCCCCAAGCCGGTGGGCGCCGCCGGCGGACCTCACTCCCTCCCTCCCTCCCGGCGCAGGCATTGTCTGGCGGCCGCGCTCCGCCGTTGCTCCACTCTCCAGCCAAGTGCTCCCACCCGCTCTGCTTTTTGTATCATCTTCTGGGTGGCACCGAGCCCCTCAACGATTAGGACCTCCACCCAGCCCTGCAAAATGAGAGGGGAGACACATTTCCCCACTCTCCTTTCCCCACCTGCCTTCCTCCCATCCCCCTCCCGCATCAGTGCAAACAGACTCACCAGGAATAAGGTCGGGAGCAAATCGCCCAAATAAGGCCACCTGGAATCCGGGAGATGCAATCGTGTGCTTCTTTTTTGCCTATTGTATCAGTGAATGTCCATGTCAAAAGGTGTTGGTGTGACTGTCCTGTGGGCTCTGCCTCTGCGTAGTGAGAGTGAGAGAAGGAAAGAGACAGAGATGGGGGGGAAGAGAAAGAAGCGGAGAGAGTTGTACAGATGGACCCGATGCAGTGACTGACTGGCACGCAGACACTCACTTTTTGTTTGCTGCACATAATCTGCCCAATGACGCGTGACAGCCCACGTCCCCTCCCTTTAACTCTTTGCTGGGCTGGGCGCTCCCTCCGGCACCGCCAGCCTCACAGCCATCTCCCCGGCCTGTCTGCGCGCTCAGCAGTACCGGAGCGCCTTCCACGGGTGGCAACGCCTCTGCGAGCCCGCCTGGCCCATCACCTCCTAAAGATCTGGCCCTGTGGGACACTCACCGAAGAGGGGAAAACCGGTTTCTGGATTGAAACAGGAGATACCCAAAAGACTGGAGACAGCACAGTGTCTCTGTGTTTGGCGTGGCACTTGGAGAACCTCTTGTCGCAAGCCGGCCACCCAGTGTGCGCGCGGACCCCAAGAGGATTCCCCCGGAGTGTGAGTTCTGGAAAGCGGGCGAGGGTGGGAGGAAGGCCAGATGAGCTCCAAAGAATCCAGTGAGCACTAACCCGCAGCTGTTCCGCGCAGCTATTTGGCTTGAGGGTGATAAACTGGACGCCAGCTTTTTCCAGTGCCACCCACACTACCTGAGCAAGACTAAGAAAGGATGCTCTTTGGTAAGACTCTTGCTCACCCTTCCAGTGGACCCAAAATGGATGAGGTTGCGTGTAGAGAGAGGCTGGAGAGCAGGAGGTTGCTGGACCCCAGAAAGGCCCAGGGACGCAGCTACGGTGAGATAGGGCTGGGTGGGCAGATAGCCCAGGTAATCGAACCCAAGCAGTTTCTGTTCTTCCAGCCTCTGTCTGGCGCACTCTGCATTATCTCAGGGGATCTCAGGGAGGGGCAGCCAGCCGAGAACATCCTCCTTAAAGGAGGAGAGAGGGTGGTTCAAAATGCAAATATTACCAAGATGGACTCGGGAGAGCCAGCTGGTGATGAAGTGGATGGCGTTGCTGCAGCGGCGAAGGTCAGAACCCTTGTTCGTCTACTAAGCCACTTAGAGGCGCTGATTCCCCCTCTCGTGCAGCATCTGACGTTGATGACTGGAGGGCTTTAAACGCCTGAAAGTTGACTTCTTCAACTGGGACCGCACCACGTTTTCACTAGGGGCTCTAGGGGTTCTTCTTTGCTGTGCACTCTTCTCCTAAGGGAAGAAAGGCCCTTGAGTTGGCTTAGAGGCTCCCACTGCTTGAGCTCCACCCCCCCAGCAACGCTGCACACAAGTGGACAATCTGTCAGCTTTAGGATAAATCGGATTGTGTAGCCGGCCAAAGTGGACGAGGCAGAGCCACGATTTAAGAATTGGAATAGAACCATTTTACCCACCTCACCCCTCCGTGTTGAAATAAGGTGAGTGAACTAGGGATTGATAAAGGGGAGTTTAAAATTGAAAGGAACACATCGAGTAAATGTCACCTTTCTTCAAATCCCAGTGGGAAAGTGAGGTGCAGGTATGAAGCACCTTTCTACCTCAGGCTCACGGTCCACAAAAGAACAGGGCAGAAAAACGCCGGAGTTTGTCACTCAGTAAGTTTCTCTCTCTCCCCTGCCCCTTCTATGTTCTATCCATAGACAAGCCCCACCTCCACTCACTATGCCTCACTCAATTTTGCTGGGCCCTGAGTTCTTTGCAACATGGAGCTACCAACCAAGGACTAAACTGCCATTCCCGGTAGCCAAGTCCCTGAATACTGTGGGCCAACGGATTGCTCTCTCGCTCTTTTCAGGCTAACCACTGACTTGTCAAAGAAAGTTTCTTAACCTTCATTTTCTTGGAATTTTAAAAGAATAATTTCTCCTCTGCAGGTGTGCTCAGTTTTAAATAGCCAAGCTGAGGATGACTGATCAAGTAATCAAGGCTGGATGCCAAGGGGCTTCTCACCCGGGTCGGTATAAAAGAATCTGCAGCTGGAGTTAGCAACCAATTGCCTTAAGACGGGCTGCCTCATTGAATACCAGATTGATTCATTTCACCCTCCAACAAATGAAAAGCATCCTTTTCCCTAATCACTTGTTTAATGGAAGGGGTAGAGGAGTTAGAAATGTCAAAAACACTGTTGTCACACGGCAGAATATAATAATAAGGGCTAAAGAACAGGGACCAGATAGCCAGTAAGTTCAGAGAAGAGGGAAGGAATTGAAAGGGCAGGAGATACATGGTGTTAATGACAGCAAGTTAAGAAAGAAGGCAGGCATGAGAGTGAGTGAGTGGATCTTGGACATTGAAGCTCAATACATGTACATAAGAGGGAGGAAGCCCAGGGGGGAGGTAAGAATTCCCAGAGCCTAATTCCAGTAATTTGGAGAATAAACCTTTCCCAGGAAAAGCCATGCATTAAAAAAAAAAAAAAAAAAAAAGGATCATCTTACATCTGCAAATATTAAAATACCCATTCTATAATGTAGTAATTTAGAACACTTT